TACAAATCTTCAACATGATTTTCTGCACCTGAGATCAGTTGGTTGTGGCCGTCTGATGCCATATGCTGTTGGCCATAGAGACGCCGATCATCCCCAGATCATCTCATTGGGTACCCAACAGGATTGGTAAGAGGTTGGCCATAGTGACCTTTAGTAGAATTACTGATTATGAAATCATCTATATGGAACAAAACATCTCTCGATATATATGCAGCTTTAATTTGAGTAGGTTTATTGTGTTCTAAACTGTACGTAACCCCTTTAAATATAATTGTAAATATTATCAATGTTTATAATAGGCGTATTGGTCCTTTAAGCATCAAAGTATAAACATATTATATTAAATATATTTGGCTTTTTCTAGGTACATTTTTTATGTGGCCATAGACAGATGCAACCAGTCCGATTAATTAGTAGTTGACCCTTGATTTCTATAACCCTGTTTTATGTCATTCCTCAGCATTAGGGAACCAGGCTGTTCAGTCTTCACGCCATTCACTCCTACTGTGTCTTAAAGGCTGGAAAGTTTAGGCTTTCTGCTAATACCCAATAGAAAGAGCTGAAACTTAATTACACTTACTGTTAGAAAAGGAAGGTTTTATGAGTTTTTTGCCTGTAGGCAGTAATGTTTATTCCATTGCATTTTACTATGCAACCTTTTAACTCCAGAGTCTTTGAACTTTATATTTTCACAGATTTATCACTGTCTAGCAGAGAGCTGCTGTAGCCGTCTCAAGATGCTAACCTCACGTAGACGAGAGGGAAGAGATATAAGTCGTTATTTTTGCTCCCCTTTGTGCCATTAAAATCTCATTTTCTGCCTATTAAGATGCCCTCTCAGTGCTAGAACCAGGCTGATGAGTGTGTAATTGGGTATAATTGTCTTTTCACTTTTCATTTATGTCATTCTCAATATCCTTCTGTTTCCTCTCACTGCCGAGAGGAAAAAGTGTTCGGGGAGGATTCATAGCTGTGAAGCTGCCCCCACTTAGCCCCACAAAGAGGCCTGATTTTAATTATAGATTGCACGCCGTTCAGTGAAACTATTAGACACCTGAATATTAGTCCCTCTGATATAATAAAAATCCCTGTGTTTAGACACACATTAACAATGTCAAGCCAACCTCAGGCAGATGTGGACCGTAGTAAATTCAACCAACCTTTTGACACTCAATCACCAAGTCAATTTATTTCAGTGCAATTCCCAGATACAACAACCCAACTCCTCTGAATGAAAATTAACAGCCTAATTATTGCTCATATAGTTTCAAGGCATAAATATCCCTCTGGTTTGTAAATGTGAATGTGTTTTAATGGACCACCAAGTCTAAAAGCCAAGTGCCTTTAATAAAACGCATCCAGTAACATTCAACAAATACGTTCCCTAAAAATCTTGCTTACATTATTAGAACAACATACATTTTTACACTATATTTACATTTGCTGCATAGCTTAGCACAAGCTACAATTCCTTCAAACCATTTATTCAGTCTACTGGCATGCAGTAGCAGGATCCTTCTCTAAAATTGTTCATAGACTACTAAAACAGGCTGCTTGCTGCAACTTTGGTCTTTGCCATAATGACCATACACATACAATGCCAAATCAGAACATCTTGCCATTCCCATATCAGCACTGTTTGTCTTGACTTGGCTGTAACTGGACTTGCCATGCAATGAACACAGATCTAATTATTATAAAATTAACAGGGATATTCACAAAAGGGGGAAGAGTTTGGAGAAGGCAGAGGTAAACAATTATAGGCCAAAATAGCTGATTTGGAAGAATTCTCCAATTCAGCTCACTTTCCACTTCAGCTATTTTGTCTTAGATTGTTCACTTCTCCTGCCTTCTCCAAACTCTTCTCCCTTTTGTGAATAACTATGTAAACTTACAATAATTGAATTATATTTCTATTTATTTTATGTGTCAAATTATTTTTTACTATACTGTCCAGAAAATAAATCCTTTCTGATTAAATAGAATTGTCATTGCCTGTTACATTAGTGACATTATCAAGAATCCGTACATTTGAGCACAGTTTATTCATCTGTGTGGCATGCAATGGCTGTACTTCCCACACTGCTCTTTGCCTTAATAAATAAATTAGCAACAGACAGTAACTTATAGAAGCTTAAAACTTAATTTGTGCTCACGATGTCGTGTAAAGAAATAATGTTTTTTTCACATTTGTTATTTTTCATGTTGCAATTTGTGCCTTGTGGCTACTGTCATGTTCCTAGAAAGGTCTATATTATTTTGGGGAAAGAAAAACACTTGAAAGACAGCTTACCAGCCTCAGCTTTTGAAGTAGCCAGTGCGGGGGTGGAGGAGGAAAAAGGGGAAGGAAATTTGCAAAACAAAATCATGTGGCTCATATAAAGAGCTCTTTATGGTTCGAATTTGGCAATTTCTTCCCTTCTTGCCTCAGGTGCTCAGCCTGCTTGGTTCTGGCATGCAGTTAAAGGAATGAAAACAGTCAACTGACCTGAGGTGAAAGGCCATTGCCAATGGTGGGGTTCATGGGGTTGGAAGGCCCGGATGGGGGTACAAAGCTGTCTGTGTAGCTGGAAAATCCATGGCGGCCGCTGGACAGGCAGTAGGCCGAGCTGTTCTCATGGTTTGAAGGAAGGCTGCTTTGGTGAACACTGCTCGGAGGGAGAGGTTGAGGCCTGTGCAAGGTGCTGCTAGGGTCAGAGACAGCTGCAAACAAAATAATGTTGATTTTTAACCTATGTAAAAAAAGTATTAGCATGTGCAAATAAGCTAGATGAAAACTTTCCTGTGAAATCAGAGAACAGATAACATGACCCTGAAAATGTTGTACCCGTGCCCACTCCCTCCCTTCTGTGTGAACTTGACAGTTCACACCTAGAACAGAAGGGCTGAATGGTGTCATGGTGTCATGGTAATGGGACCTTCTTCCAGGTTCAGCTAAGGAGGAGAAGGGGCCATACACAGAAACAAAGAATTCTAATATTTTCCACATGCTTCCTGACAGTCATTTGACACAGCATAAAAGTAATTTTCATTCAGTAGCATTGTAGTTTCTATAAAAATCATAATAATGTTATGTTATATGGCCATTTTAGATACATGCAGTCTAGTAACATTAGACATGTTGACTGCGTTGACTGTGCAGGGAGATAACATAAATAGTTTAAACAATATCTTTAACCACTTCAAGACCAGGTGTTTAGACCCCCTTCCTGGCCAGGCCATTTTTCAGTATTCAGCGCTGCGATACTTTGACTGACGTTTATTCCGTCATGCAACGCTGTACTGAAATTAGAAGTAGGAATGACATAGGCTTATTATTGTACCTTGCGGTATTGAAGTAGGCTGGTACGATGTCTCCGATAACTGGTAGGTTGGCAAAGCTGGCATGCCTGCAGGTGGAAATGCCCCTGGGATCAGGTGGTTGAATGCCATTAGTTGATTGGCTCCTGCTTGCTTTCTCCACCTGGCACGGCGATTACTAAACCATACCTGAAAGGGAAATGTTCAGAGTTGGTCAGTGACAGTGAAGGAGTAGGCCAGTTATAGCCACAATGTGTGTACAACAAACTGGGGGGAAAAAACCATGTGAAAAGAAATCAGATATCAGTTACGTCCTCAATACATCTTCTGCCAGATATGATTCAGATTTATGTTGTGGGAAATAGAGTGGAAAGAAATATAAAATATATTTTATGGCTTTACATTATTGAAAGTGATTGCTGAAAACCACTGGGATTACACCATTATCTAAAGTCTGAGTATGAGATTTTTCAGCGTTAAAGGAAAGCTCTAATAAAAAAGTAAGACGGCTGTCATTCCTGACCTCTCATTGCCTGGCTGCCATGCTGATCCATTGGCTTCAGTGCCTTCTAAACTATTTTTTTGGTCAGTCAGTATTTCAAAGTAAAGAAACAAGAGGCAGACGGGCAACTGGTATTATCAAAATGTGTTTAGCAATAACAGACTGAGCATTTTTTGACTGGACTGGGTATATGTATGTGTCTTTATACCTTATTGAGCCTTCAGTAACTGTGATCGCCGGCTGACAACAAGATACAATCTAAAGATTATAAAACAGCGATGTAATACAAGGGCCTACCTGATTGCATGCAAATCAAATAAATTCTTGACGGAGGCCACCTGCTGAGTTTTTGGTATATATAAAGATAATATTACAGAGAATATACTATTTGAGGCAAATTCACTAAAGGAGTTGAGAATCCTCACACAACAAATGGTATGAATATTCACTTTAGTTATCCAATCATGTAAAAAGCAAATTCCTGTTTACTTATTTCATCTTCACATTATTAGATAATTTATGTGAATATTCACACAATTTAGTTTAAAGGTTCTTAACTCCTTTAGTAAATCAGCCCAACTGTGTGGCCAGCTTTAGGGAGTACAGCCAACAGATTTAAGAGCAACCACTTCTATTTTAAATGAAACTAAAAAAGCAGATAAGCAAATCCTGTAATATTGTTGATAGATATATTCATTGCTATTTGGAGAACACAATTATCTAGAGGTCACTAGAAATGATAATACAGTAGCTGATTTTTTTTTAATTGTTTTTTTAATAATGGAGCAGAATTGGGACAGTTGCTTATAGAAGCTAATCAAGTGTAATCTTTCAGATGAAGCAAGGAATACATAGGTAATCTATTGGTAGCAGCTGTTGTTTTTGCTTCACTTTTTGTAAACGATCTTCTCCCTCTGTAGGACATGAGGCAACACATTACAAAGTAGGGAGCACGAGTTAACAATTGCTTTTTTAAAAAGACATCATATTCCAGGGCCGCGAAGCATAGAACATACTTCTATGCGTCACACTTTTTATATATAGATTTGAAGGTTCTGGGTATTTTCGTGGGTATGCTGCTGCCTTTTTCCCTTTAATAAAATATATCAATTAAAAACAAAAATTTCTTCCTGACTTCATAGCATTTTAACTGGTTCACTGCTGTTCCTGTAATATGATGCACTGTGCACCTCTTCAGCAGCGAGGGAGTCCTGACTGACAGCGATATGCCGCTTCATGCTGAGCTCAGTTAAAGACCCATATGTTAGATGTTCAGGGGAATTTGTTAGGCTGTAGATCATGGTAATAGTGTGACAGGTTATGAGTCTCTCGGGATCTGAGGAAGCCATAAGGAATGTTGTGAAGTCAGAGGGTTAAAGACACATTACAACAGCTGGAGAAAGGCTCCTGCATTTGCTTGGTAAGGGTCATTGACTTACAAAAATAAATGCTCAATGAAACACAACAATGCTTATTGCATCTGTTAACATACTGATCATACTCCTTGCATTGTTTTCACCATGTTCTCAAAATCAAGACATGAGTAAAAAAAATGCATTCTAGACAACCTGTTGGTCAGGTCACTTGTCGTCATAGTACTATTATTATTTGCCATGTAACTGTGTAGTTATCAACTCCTATATAACTATGAAACTGTCTGATCTGCCTGGGAAAATCCAAAATAGCCAATCAACTTCATCCAATTATCTAATCTAGAAGCAATTTACCTATGCCTACACTGAGCAAGATTTCAGTAGTTGTTCCTTCTGTCAAAGAAGATGAAATATTATTGCTCAACACATGACTAATGACAGACTGTGATGGTCACCCTGACCCAATAATAGAGAATATCCTTGAATTTTACAATATTTCATGTTTATTGGTGAGTAGCATACAGATAATTATATATATGGTGGCATGTTCTTTACATTCTGCCTTAGTGCCTTATCTTGACAACTCCAAGAAAAAAGAAAAGGCTAGTTGCACTCCTTACCGGTATGACACCGTGATCAGGGAGGGGTGCTTGGAATGACTGCGGATGGCACCGCCAAATAAAGATAATTGCAGAAACGTCACCAGCACACCAAATTCTTATAGGTGGGAACAGTTGCTTTGCCTGATGAAGGGACCCTGGATGGTCCCCGAAAGCGCTTGTGTAACTGACAATAGTTTGCAATAAATCTACGAATTTTGATCCTATAAGGATTTGGTGTGCTGGTGACGTTTCTGCAATTATCTTGACAACTGACTGAGTGGTGTGTGACATGAGTAATCCTTTATAAGTTCCAAAAAGTTTGCCACTGCACTCCTTACTGGTATGTCCCTTTAAAATGGGTGCTACAGTGATAGTGGATGGCACAACTTCAAATCCAAATAGTAAAGTATATCACCAGCCCACCAAGGTAAAATCTTCAACGAGTCATGCCTGATGAAGGGACACTGAGTGGCCCCAAAACGTTGCTTTATGACAAAATGTGGGTACATCAAGAAAATGACCACTCGTTGAAGATTTTACCTTGGTGTAATGGTCATATACTTTACTACGAGTAATCCTGTCTGACAATAAAAAAGAAATTTCTTAAGTACCTGTACTCGTGCCTCAGTAAGCTTTGCTCTTTGAGCCAGTTCTTCTCGAGTGTAAATATCAGGGTAGTGAGTTCTCTCAAAAGCTCTCTCCAGTTCCTCCAGCTGCTCAGCTGTAAATGTGGTTCTGCTTCTACGTTGTTTCCTCTTCAAAGGAAGGTCTGGTTCAGAGTCAATATCAGAACCTTCTTCGGACTGAGGCGAAGAGGGGGCTGGAGAAAAAAAACAACAAATTGTTGTGAACCCAAAACAATAAGTTTAAATGATGATCTTGTGTTGTGAACTAAGATTCATATCAAATATATTGACAATATAATACAGAATAATGGACATTGTTATAAAATTGGCTTTCTGAAAAATATCTTCTTTAGGTCTTTGTTCTTTTAATATGATTTGGTTGGAAGATATGAATCAAGTTTGCTCCTTCCAGACCATGGGAAAACACACAGATTGTTGATTCTTGGCTATCTGTATGCATGGTCTGACAAAACAAACACGAACTTTGTAGTAATGCCCAGCGGAGAGAGCATAGCATCTCAGGATCTTGTTCTATGCTGTAAAATACTCACTAGGGATAGAAACTGGCCCCTGCTTATTCATCAATACACACCGCTGTTATTAATCACTCCAGGATGCCCAACTCATTACAGCATGCACTACATCACTACTTAGGCCGACAGGGAATAATATTTTATGTGTGTGCGTTTGTGTGTTTTGTAAGTGTATATTAAATATGTATGTGCATTTTGTAGATATTATTTTTCTTTTGTACACTGCCAATTGTTCCATTATACTTTGCAGTTAGGCAGAAACATATAATGAACATGCTGGGACTAAAAAACAATGTAAGGGTTTTTGCCAAAATGTTAACAATTGCTTAAGCCTTTAACCTGTTCATGGCGTTGAAGGCTCATTGGTGCAGGAGACACATATAAGTACAGCATCTCTATATTGGACACAGATGTCAATACTTGTTAAATCTTTTCCGACAGATGGATACCTTAAATTCACCATTAAATAAATAAGGCAGCAAAGATCAAGCGAATACTGGTGCCTATGTTCACTATCAATAATCTCTATAGTGCAATATATTATGTGGCTGGTGCAGTCAAGGCATGGTACATGTACAGACAATGGTAACTGTAGAGACACAGAAAGTGGTAAGGCATCCTGTTTGAGAAGTGAGAAATATTGTCCATGTTCTTAATTTGAACAGAAGATTTGTCACATGAATATAGGTACACCTGGCCCCAGATCGGATGTAGTCCCATCTATGACCCCTATCAACTTCCACCAAAAGGGTTCTTGCTCAACCCACACTTATAAAGTAATTAATTGACTGCTCCAGGGAGATGAACAATGTCAGCCTTATTTATTGACATGGCTTTACTGCCCCATGGCTACCAAACAGGTCTGAATCTGACCTGGAAAATAACATTGGTAAAATTAAAATGTGGATAGAATGTGGGTCTAAATGGTGTCAGTGGGAAAATATAGATACATTTTTCTTGAGACTTACCAATTAGATCTGTCATCACCTGAAACACCACAAAGAAATCAACAGGTAGTGGAAGAATCCACACCATTGCAGTAACAAAGCGATGGCAGCTAATTCATCCCCTTTATAATTTCCACTTGTGTGATTGCTGTTAAAGGAAACACTGCCAGTAGAGGATGCCAGTGCTGACCTCTTGTTCTGAGTCAGTAAGTCAAAGTACGGAAACCAGAGGCAGCCAGGGAAATCACATTTTCAGAAAGAAATCAGCACTGTCAGCCCCCACATTACTCCTAGTATGGGTTTCTGTACACATAATTCTAATTTTTTTATATTCACTAATCTACTATTAAGGATCATTTTGCCTATGTTCACTTTAAATACCCAATTCACTGCAGGGAGATTAAACATAAAATGAAACTGTTTTGGTAAATATTGGATAGTATAAAATTAGCCCCTCAGCTAATCCGCTCCTTATTGCTTGCATAGAGGCATATTTAGTTTGAATAAAATTGGTCTTTATATGGTTTTGATTCTGAGTTGTACTTTTTCCCTTTTAAATTGTTTTTCAAGCTAATATGCATCTATTTTTACCCTGTCCGGGATGCATTCGATTATATAGAATGCATGTGACCAATGGCTTATGACACTGTGCAGGGAAATCTTTCCTGAGGCTGCACTCCAGGTCACAAGGGGTTATGGGACATGGATGCAGACTTTAATTCTGGAACTTCTTTTAATTAAACTTCACAGTCAGGCCGATGCTGTCGCTTATTCTTAAAAAGGCAGGAGTTTGTAATCCGTCCAGGCAGGATTCAGATAACTTTTCTGCCCTTGATCCCATTGTTCACAAAATCCCCATTCTCAATCAGATTCATCTCAGCTAAATTTGACCCATTGCTTTCCAGAAGGATGTACCACAGGGGTTACAAGCATCTCTTCTGGGGCTATGCATCACAGTAGCATGACTGAAATCTAGGCCTATCTCCTTTATTATTTATTTTAGTCATGAGGCTCTTCTGATGAAAGATCATGTACTGTAACTAAAATTTTTTCATTCTCCATTAAAAGTAAGAGGGAAAAATCCACACCTTATAAACCTGTCCTGGAAAAGTCCCATGCCCAGTCAATTAGATCTAATGACACTTTGTAGAGGCAGCATTACATGAAGGTAGATTGTTCCATAATGCAAACACTACTGACAACAACTAGCAATCTCTATAAGCAATTCAACAAAAGTGGAACCTAATTTTACAAAATAGGATGACTTGGAGTGTAAGAAAGATATTAGGACTTAAAAGAATTAGTATAGAATATTAGAATAGAATAGAATGTTGTGTTATACTAAGTGCAGGCCTGAAAACAGACACAAATATCTGGCTGGTTGTTAGGAATGATGCTGGGTCTGCTAACTGCACCTCATTGAGTAATAATGATTGGCTTATAGTAAATGCAATTGTTACATTACTTTGAAGTCACTTTACTGTGTGCATCACATTTTGGGTAACTGTGACATCTAATTAGCTAATAGTGAAATCAACCACTAACTGAATTAGCAAGGCTTATTATTTTGCATCTCCTAATTGTTACAGAAACAGAGCATAGCCAACATAGACAAGGTCACCAAAATATTGATATATAATTTACTGTTTTAACAGCAATGTATGGATGATGATGTGCCTATATATGTGTATGTGAATCAGATGGGTGTAGTTTGCTGTATGACAGAGCCATATATTAATTGCAGACATAGTCCAAACCCTTGATCAACATCACACAATCACAAAAGTTCAAATGCATGCCTTCAACATATCAGAATACCCTGCATACAAAACAAGAAAAGAACTTTGATATTGAACATTAAACCAGCTAATTTATCAGGGTCAGACATCAGCTGAGATTTTTTTTTTGGGGGGGGGGGGGAACACGGCC